CTCTTCCCCGGGGACAGCCGAAGAGCAGCCGTGCGGGAGCTGCTCTTTGAAAATGCTCTCGTTGCTCCTGGCGCTTTCAAGTGTGTCGGCGGCACTTGCTCCTTCGGCGTTTTTTTATGCAGTCCCCGAGGATTTTTCTCGGGTTTCAGTTTGTGGCTGGGTTTCCGTGGATGCCCTCGCCCTGGACCTTCTGTAGCTGTGTCTGCTCTGCCGTCGCCAGTGTCGGCGCTTCTGACAGCTCTTAACCTGCGAACTCCTTGTTTCTGTTTCTCTCCTGGGGAAACTTACTCTGGAACAAAGCTAAATTCTTAGCTTTTAAGTTCAAACTGTTAGGTGGTGTCTTAGAAGTAATAATTTACTTGTTTTTATAGAAGACAACTGGCACATGCAGGGATCTCTTTACACTTGTTCATGGTTCTGCTAAGCTCTATTACCTGCTTCCATTTATGTTTTCACCCCAATTTTCCAGTTTATAGTCCTAATTTGTATTGTTAATACTGTGCAGGGTGTAGCTAGAATTAGTAGGGATAAAGTACAAAACCTAGGTGTGTCTTTTTTCTGTAGTATCTTTGTATCTTTAATCCAGGGCTTTTAAGAAACAATGCTACGCTTTCTTCAGGGTGGTTCTTTAGAACTGTGCAAGGTCCACAGTAGCTTAGTGCATGCAGGCTTGTATAACAATAGATATGATTGGTTTATTGGTGTGTATTTAGGAAAATAGAGATGGGCATATGGAATTTAAATGGGAAAAGAATACTGAGAATGAGAAATCTTGTTTTTGAGAAGGGAAGCAATGAAGTGGAGTGTAGGCGATTGGATGAATTAACTGTCTTCCCTCTGATATTCCCATTGGGACCACCACCTTTGCTCGCAGTAGTAGACTTTTTTCAGATATGTATAACACACTGTAGATACCCTTTTTATTGTGTTTGGTACTGTTGCATGCTGCCTACCACAGAATTCAGTTTTTCTGTTTGCCTAACCCTCCTTCCCATTCCACACATGAACCACTTGTAATGTGTGAGAGAAGGCCTGTAAATAGTGACTTATGTAAGAACTTAGCTTCACACTCCAAAGCTTGTTAATTAGGGCAGCTGCTTTGGCAGTGGATTAGTTGCTCTTGGTAGGTCTGCGGAGTTAAAGCTCAGGCAGCATCCTTCTCCACCTCATTACCCTGCCGCTATACTCTATCCATGAAAACAAACAAATCTGCAGGGTTGCTTAGGGATCAGTGGAACAAAGGAGCTATTTAGTCTTTTGGCATATTGGTCTTTTCAAGAAAAGAAGAAAAAGGGAGCACAGTATAATGGACCTACAAAAGTGAGAGCTTTATTTACAGAAGTAAATAACCTCTGTTAGTTGTATGGGGTTGACCGCAGATAACCTGGTGATGAATCATCATCAGCTTGAAAGTGAACATCACTAATGTTGGCTTATAGCATAAGAAAAGAGAGAATAGTGTAGAAAATAAACTGATTTAAAATAGTTCCCATGTGCTTACCACCAGGGCAATTGAAAATTCTCCCCGTCTGTTCTCTACTCTAAGCTGTCTTGCAACCACCACCACCCAAATTCACTGGAGTGCAAGGATGAAAAGACATTTAACATCTCAAAGTTATTCTTATGCTTCGGTGGTGATGTGTGATAACTCTGCATACACCTTAGGAATCCACACTATTTGAACATAAGCAGCGGGAGTGGTTGATCAGGAGTATCTGTGAGGACACTGCATTTTTTCTCTTTCTGTGTTTTGTTCACACGTATACTTGGAGTGGTGGCATCTTGCTGGCTTTTTTTCCCCCTCACATTATTTTAGTTTAAATGTATGGGGTTTTTTAGAACTGCAATCTAGTATCCTGTGATCACAGAAAATGATTTCTGAAGAACAGGCAACTGATTGAAAAAGGACAAAAAGGTTCAGAAAATTTTTATTTTTTGTAGTTATGTCTGGATTCCATTTTACAATGTTTTCTTAACCATCTAACTCTGGTGTTATTTTTACATCGATCCTTGCTGAAATCCATAATGGAAACAGTTCTGTAATGTTTATTTCAGTCTCTGGTTCTGAACAGTTGGCTAAACTATAGTGTTAATATTGTGAGGAGACAGCTTTCAGCTTATCATACCCCAAGCAGTAATTTAAGAGGAAGCAGATGACATCAGCAGAGCAGTCACGAACCTTTTCTTCTCCCAGCACAGCTGTAAGAAGGTGTGCTTTGCCACCTGTTCCCCAAACTAGTTCCTTTCTGAGCAGTAATGCTGGGAGAGACTGAATCTTCAGCTTTTGCCTAATAGTGCCTGATGCAGTTCAGCAAGAGAAATTTATGCTTTCACTTTCTAACTGGTATAATGGGGTCCTGTCAACAGGGTAAAACAAGTGCTGGGGAGAAGTGTCCTGGTAATGGGATCCACTGCCTGTATCTTCCTGAGAAAAGGGTGCAGTGTGGTAAAAGGAGATCTGTAGAGTGCTGAGGACCCAACTTTAATGTTGTTTGTCTGCTTTGGGTTTTCGCTTTACAGCAGCAGCTTGTTCCTTTGATCTGAAAGCCCTTTTTTATTAAAGTGCATCCTCTGCTGTAGTTTAATCTAAAAGGAGTCCTGTTCAGTGTATCCCAGTCACTTTTGACAAGCTGATTCTGAGCTTTTAGTTCACACTTTATGAAAGACACAGCTGGTTCCCAAACTAGCCGATTTTACCTTAGGGTATAAAATGCCATGTAGTTGATTTTGGATCTTAGGAGATTCAAGTAGAAAATATATATAATTTGTGAATGGAACATGGAGGTCAAAAAAGAGGAGAAATTGGCGAATGGAGTTCTGGAGTCTTGATTTCTGCAGCTACTCTTGGGATCAGTGGGATGCTGTCACCCTTTAACATTTCTTGCAGCATCCTAATCATACTGTTAGATAACAACTTCATGCACCTTGCACCTTAACATGGTTCATAGTCCACAGACTCAAGAACAGCTGCTTAGAACTGTGCTCTTCATGTGCATGAAACAGTCATTTGTCTGCAAACATCTGCAACTATTTAAATGATAGCTGTATTGCAATTTACATATTTAAATGATAGCTGTATTGCAATTTACATATTTAAATGATAGCTGTATTGCAATTTACACATTTAGTAGACTTTTTCCATGAATATATGGAGTGTTGCAGGATTGGAAATGCTGCTGTTGCCATTTGCTGTTCGTTCTACTTCAAGCTGTTCAGTGTGAGACTTCATGAAATTAAGAATTTGTACTGCTGTTGCTTAACACAAAGATTACTAAAAATGTTGATGATTTTGCATCATAAAAAGATTGAAATGTTAATAAACAACCACATCTATAATTCTGCAATTTCATAAAATATTTTGTATGTTAAATAAAATACAAAATGTGTGTTAAGAAATTAAAAGCATTTTTTTTTCATTTTGTGACTGTTGTACAACTAGCAAATATGCATGCCTGTGTGATATGAGTTCTCTGTAGACTTGGGATTAGTAATAGCTAAGGTTTAGGTTTTGATATTTCTTTGCTTTAGGATACCTGATCCTTGTAAAGCTTGGAAGTACTTGCCAAAGAATGCCAAGTTCACATGGCCCATAGAAACTTTAACTCTTGTCTGAAATAATTTGTGCCTTGTGGCTGTAGTGACAGTACTTGGATGTTCTTCCATGAAGGGTTTGTTTCCAGTCCATGGTACAGACACAGCTTTAACTTGCTGGTGGATGACCAGTCTGTGAGGTAAAGTTGGGCATTGTTGATTTAACTGCACCACCTGATCTCAGCATAGCAGTCAGGAAGATGTCTGATAATTTTGGAAAGTGGACAGAACATAACCGTGGGTTGTCTCTTGCCAGTGCGGTTCACCTTGATTTCAGGACATACACCCCACTGTTTTTTCGTCATGTTACGTAAATTCTCTCTTTTTACACTTGACTGTTAGAAGTTCATGGCTCTTGCACATCTTCTGTGCTGACGTGATGCCATCGAGTAGATGTGCATTCACATGAAAAATGGTTGCCTAAAGGTTAATTACTGAGAAGAGGAAGCAATGCGTTTGGGATACAGCAGTGTCTAGACTTCATCCTTTTCTAAAATAATCTGTGCCTTATTTGTATCATAGATTGATCACTGCTGCTTTGCCTTTGTGAAAATGAAGGTAATCCTTTCTATCTGCTTTTCTGAGAGACTGTTCTACTTCTGTTCAAGGACTTCTGTGATTCAGAATCATCACTGATGTCACACTTTGGAAATGCAAGTGAGGGATATTAATGTATTCTACTTCTGTAGAGCTGCCAGGAGCATGTCACATAGTGTTTGATGCCACATTTGATGCCTGTCTTGAGTCGTACTGGTCTGGAATCAAACCCTTCACAGGGAGTACACTTTCAAAAGAAAAGCGTCTGTATTTATGAGAATATGGACAATGTGAAGTCTTAGAAACAAGTTCCTGTGAACTAGAACAAAGAGGTTTGGGGTTGAGGATTCTAGACTCCAGTGATATTCTCTCTCAACTGAGAATATCAAAAGGAGTTTGGTTGTTTTTCTGAGTTTTATGGGAGAAGTGAAACTAATACGTAGTTTTAAGGTATATACAAGTGCACACACAGACTGCTCCATTAACTTAATTTAAAACAAAAGAAATCAAAGCAAACAAAAAATACCCTTGAATTTCCCCAGGCATTCCTCATTACTAGTGCTTTGTTTTCCTGTAGATATCTGCAGAGCAATTGAGTTGCTGGAAAAATTACAGAGAAGTGGAGAAGTGCCACCACAAAAGCTACAGGCTTTGCAAAGGGTCCTTCAAAGTGAATTCTGTTATGCTGTGAGGGAGGTAAGTTAACTTGACGTAAGCAGTCACCTTGAGTTAAAAACCAGTATGTTGTACTTTTTCCTTTTTTTTTATGTTTGGTACAATAATCTGATTTTGTTCTTTCTAAAAGCTGAATTTGACTTAAAAAGCTTAGTAGAATAAGACTCATTTTTAAAAGTTCAGAAGACAATAATATGGGGTAGCATAGATGTATTCAATAATGACACAAGAACAAATAACTTTTTACAGGTTATTTTGAGAGTCCTTACTGGGAGCTAGCAGGGTGTTACCCTGTTGGAATGTAAGAATGGACAAAGTACGAATTGCCTCTGTTTCTTTTAACCCAAATCCACGTTACCTTGAAGTGGAGCCCCATACCACCTCATTTTCATTCTAGATACTCTGTTAGATGTTCTTAGGTGACTGAATATGCCCTGTTGTTGCTGTTAGTGCTACCACTAACAATAGCACCTGGAATTATTTAAAAGATCTGTTAGTAGACACAGATGTCATAATGTTTTTTATCCTATCAAGGACAGTATGTTTATTGCTTAGGAAGGCCAAATGAAAGGCAGGTGGATGTGAGGATGTGGGTTAGCTCTCAGTATTTTTGATAGCATTTTTTTCTTAAGCTATTTAGTCAGTTGTATCAGTTGAAGGAAAATATGGAGGTCTGGGGGAAGAGCTGGGTTTTTGGGAGACCTTTGAAGAGCTGTCCTGAAAGTGATTTTGTGTGCATCCGTATTGAAGAGTTCCAGCATGGATGAAACAAGAGACAGTAGTCATCCACATCTCCAGTCAGGTGTGTTAGACTAGCCATAAGTATTTCTAAATTAATGATAAGGTTTGAATGCTGTGGAAGGAGAGAAGATTTAGGCTGAGACCTAGATGTGCATATATTAACTGAGGAATAAAGATGCTGGGTTTACTCATACTTTGCTCCTACTGTTTTGTCTCTAAAGGTGTATGAACATGTATATGAAACTGTGGATATCAGCAGTAGCCCAGAAGTTAGAGCTAATGCAACAGCAAAGGTAAAATCCAAACTATAACTTGTGTAAAATACGGTAGTATGTTACTTTAGAAGCAGGAGATTATTTAAAATTCACAAGGATATTATCTGATGTCTGTTAAAATGGTTAAGCTTAATGGGTTATTAAAAAGTATAACATAAGACTTGTTATTTTTAAGTTTCTTCCGTTTTAATTTTATTCTTGGAGTTCTAAATTTTTCATATATGTAAGGAATGAATCTCATTTGTCTTAATATTTAAGTACTTTGAGATAAAAATACTTTTTTTTTCAGGCTGCTCATTCTGTCTAGCTAGGGCATCTATATTTAATTTCTTAGAAATAGGAAAATCTTGTTTCTTACAGGCGACTGTAGCTGCATTTGCTGCTAGTGAAGGTCATTCCCATCCCAGAGTGGTTGAACTACCCAAAACCGAAGAAGGCCTTGGATTCAACATCATGGGAGGCAAAGAACAAAATTCTCCAATCTATATCTCTCGAATTATCCCTGGTGGTATAGCTGATCGACATGGAGGCCTGAAACGTGGAGACCAGCTACTTTCTGTAAACGGAGTGGTAGGAATTAGTTTTCACTTTATGTAGCAGTAACTACTTGTTTCCACGTGGGGGCATACAGAGAATATGCATGGCACAGGCTTGGTCATCTTTTAATCTTGACAAAATAGCTTCTTTTTAACCTTGCTAGAACAACTTGCTTTGATTTCTATAAAGTTGTGTGCATTGAGAGTCCTAGGATTGTGCTTTGGTTATCTGTCTCAACTAAATACTATTTATGTCAGTATTTTAGATTCTTAAGGGTTGTATAAACCTAGTCACAGTATTGTTTTATGAAATAGTATTAAACTGCCATTATGGCTTTCTCTTTAATGCAAGTTTCATGATGCAGATTTTAACAGAGTTTTCTGCACCTTCTAAGGTAAGTAGTAAATCATGCTATGTTGCGTTAGGCTGACCAGATTCTCATTATCCCAGTGAAAATGCTACTGCATGATGAAAGCTGTTATAAGATGGAACTACAAGGCGGCCTTTATCTTCAGTTGTGTGGTGTTTTTTTTCCTTCCACTTGAGTCTACTGGGCTTCAAAAACGGAGACTTTCTAGAGTGTTTGAAGGAGTATATATCTAAAGTGCTGTTGTGGATATTTATTATTTATATATTATCCACCTCAAACTGAACCCTGATCATCAGATAGTTGGTACAGCTAACAGTGACTCTGTGTGTGTGCCTGCACGTGTATAGACATACAGAGCCGTTGTAAGAATACCCTGAGTGCATAAAATACAGTTCAGAATGCTAATGTGGTCTCAGAACAATTGTGATCTTCTGATGTTTACAGATGGAATCGTAGCATATTAACACATATGACAGTCATTTTCTTGTAACTGTAATTCCTAATTTAATACTTCAAAAACAAAAAAATCTACTGTGGAGGCTGCGGTGAATGTGCCTTAAAACAAGTTTAGTGTACTCCAGGATTTTAGGTGTTTTGATATAATTAAACACAGAACTTTACAGACCTTTTATTACCAGTTTTAAACAGAACAGCATACACATCCACTTGAATAATAAGAATGTAAACATTCAAATGTATTCATTGTCTAAGTCTGATAGAAGAGAAATAACTTGGGTTTTTTAACTGTTGTCTTTCTTTCTGTAAGTAACTTTATAGTAACGGGGAAACCCTCCAATCAACAGGTACATCACCTGCCTTCTAGCTTCTAGTAGCACCAGTGGGAGGTAGGCTTGGGGTAGTCCTGTTGTTCTGTTTGGGAGAAATAAGTTTTGCTGATAAAAAGTATGCTGTCCAGGAATGTATATTTGGATGTAGTTGTTGAGAATTGTTGCTTAAAATTTGTAATTAGATTAATCTAATATAACCCTAATAAATTCCGAGGGTTGTTTTAGTAAGGTGCCTTTATTCTGTTCTTACTGAGTTGGGTTAGGCTCCTCTTAGTAGATGTAGAGGAAATTAACTGGAATACCTTGCACTTACTGAGAGATGTGTGGAGCACTAAGATGAGTAATGCTCTGCATGTTAGCTGCTGTACTGCAGGTGCCCCATATGCACAGTTTTGCCTTCTTGTAACACGGGATAACATGAAGAAGGCAGCTATCTCGCAGTTGTCTGCGGCAAGTTATTAGGCTGATTGAGGATGACTACTGAATTTAAAATGCATGCTGAAAGAGGAGAAACAATCTTGAATTTTAAATGTTCTCTTAAAGTTGTTGATTTTTAAGTGTAATTTCATAATTGCCTAATATCCTTATTTCACTTAAAGTATGTAAATACAGAAGTTAATTGTTCAGCATAAACCTAACCAAAAGTTTTGCATTACTCTTTTTTCTTAATACTAATTAGTATATTTATCATCACCTCTTATTGATTTGTTGAAGAATAAATCCTGAACTGGGGTGACATTGTCCTTGTGCAGTCTTCAAACTAGAATGCTTCAATATTTGATTACATAGAAGTTATACAAAAAGGAAAAAAAAAAATCCATTTTCAATGTGTGTCTTTACTAATAATGTACTTAATGGTTTATGCTTTGCAGAGTGTCGAAGGTGAACACCATGAAAAAGCAGTGGAACTCCTGAAGGCAGCTCAAGGAAAGGTTAAATTAGTTGTGCGATACACACCGAAGGTCCTGGAAGAAATGGAGTCAAGATTTGAAAAAATGAGATCGGCAAAACGCAGGCAGCAAAATTAACATTGTATACAATAACTTAAAGGAGAAAATATATTCCATTTACATTTTATAGTTTGCTTTGTGACTCAGTTGATCCAATGCCTGGGCTACAAAAGACACTGTCCTTTTTATAGAATCACAGAATGCCTAAGGTTGGAGGGACTCCTGAAGATCATCTAGTCCAGCCCCCCTGCTCAGAGGAAGGTTAGCTAGAGCAGGTTGCTCAGGACTGACAAGCTGGATCTTTGAGCATCTCTGAGGATGGAGACTCCAGAAGATCTCTGGGCAACCTGTTCTAGTGATTTCATCTCCCTTAGACTACAAAGGTCCGGTCTTACATTAAATGGAGCTTCCCGTATTTCCATTTGTGCCCATTGTCTCTTGTCCAGACACTGGATGCTACTGAGAAGAGTCTGGCTCTTTTTTCATTCCTCCCTGTCAGGCATTTACACACATTGGTAAGATCACCCCTGACCTTCTCTTCTCCAGGATAGACAATCCCAGTTCTCTAAGCCTCTCTTGTGTGTCGCATGCTCCAATCACTTCATCACCTTTGTGGCCCTTCGCTGGACTTCTTTTTTATGCCCATGTCTGTACTGAACTGGGGAGCCCAAAACTGGACCCAGCACTTGAGTTGTCTCACCAGGGCTGAGCAGAGGGGAATTGCCTCCTTCAATTTGCTGGCAACGCTTTTCCAAATGCAGACCAGGAGGCTGCTGGGCTGCTTTGCCACAAAGGCATATGGTGGCTGAAGGTCAGTTTAGTATCCTTCTCTGCAAGGCTGGTGGGCCCTCAGTCTGTACTGGTGCATGGGGTTCTTCCTCCCCAGATGTAGGACTTTGCACTTTCCTTGCTGAACTTGTTTGCCTGTTTCTCCAGCCTGCCGAGGTCCCTCTGAGTGGCTTGCTGAGAGTGTGCTCAGTCACATCACCCATGTTATTAATGAAAGTGTTAAATGGTATGGACCCCAGTGCAGACCCCTGGGGCGCATCAGTTGTGACTGACATCCAGCAAGATCACAGAAGCCCACAGCAGTTCAGCCATTTTTAGAATGTTTAGAGTCTCCATGTTCACAGTTGAAGAGGAATGTGTACTTTTTAAATGGCCTAAGTTGCCCTGAAAAAAGCATATATGTTGATATTTCTATTGATTTTTTTCTAATAAGTCTCTTTCGTGTCAGACGAAGCTTAAGGAAGCATGAAAGTGAATTTACAGATTTTTTCAAAGGAATTTAATAAGACATACTTGTGCAGTTGGCCTCTCTTTTCTCTTTTCTTTTGGCATTACTTAACAGAATCTGCGGGGGTTTTTTCTGAATGATTTTTGGAAAAAAAGATTCTTATCTAGCAGTATTTTGGCACTTTTCTTAAGAATATGTTGTATATCAACTACAAAACCTAGTCATGATCTACTGTGTAGCTGATAGTGATACCAGATTTTGTAATGTTTTGCTGAGTACATTATTTTTACACTTCTGCTAAATTGTAATTCATTACTCTGGAAGTTGTATTACCTCTCACCTGTAAATAATTTACAGTTCTCATAAAATGATTTTGTAATAGCTGACACTTACAAATTTGCAACAATCATTCCTGTAACTTACATTATTTTGTACTAATTTTAGAGCAGCTAAGGGGAAAAATTTAATTGTGTATGCAGTTCTGGATTGGTTCTCTAGATGTATTTTTATATTCAGAAACAGAAGATATATTAATGCAGTGCAAAAGAATTCCAGATGTTTCCCTGACTTTCTGCTGTTTAAAAGAAATATTCATCTGAATTGTCATACCTCTCTTGTGTTTTTAGTATGTTCTGTTGTAGTCTTATCTACAGACTGACCGTATTGGTCTTGGACTAGTTAGTACCTAAATTATTGATTATTACATTTATAAGAGTAACATGTTCTGAGGCTTATATGCCAGGTTACTGTTACATGTGAACTTGTCTGAGGTCTTATTACTGACTGCTTCTGACTTGGAGGGTTCTTGTTTGTACTCCAGAAGTACTCCATTGCTATTGCTTTAGAGCTTTATGTGGAATGGTGCTCTGGTGGTAATAAGGAAATCTCCAGCTATAAGCAATTAATGTCTTACCTCAAGCATGGCTGGCACGGTTTTTGTGTGCTGTTCTGAAGAATGTTTCTGGACAGAGGTCCACTTCTTGGAATCTGCCAGGCTTGAGACTGTACTTGTGTAGTTTAGGGGGTGGTTTTGGTTTGGTTTTTTTTTTTGGTTGGTTGGTTGGGGATTTTTTAAGCTTCACCTTTTGTTATATATCTAGAATTAAATTGATTGTCTACTGGGTGTCTGCTCACTTGTATGGCAGCTATAAGTGCATCCTAATTGACTGTTAGTAATTTGATTCTTAGAGGCTTAAACTGAAAAGTACAGTTCTTACTATGTGGCTAATCCCTGGTCTTTTCACATGGAGCAGTATGATCCATTGTGAAATAGTTCAGTATGTGAAAGGAAGGAAAAAGTTAACGATCTAAAAATGACAGCATGAAGTTTGTGCTTTGTCAGTTCATCCACTGAAAGAGAAAAAACATGGTTGCTACAGACAAGTGAGAAATGTGCTTGCTTTCTGCATGTTTCTGAGCATGGTAAGCCTGCAAAGAGAAATTTGGATTTTAAAGATACTGATAGTTTGAAAATGCAGCATAACTGCATCAGTTAGATGACATTGAGCACTGAATTGCATGGTTGATTATCTGTCATAGGCCTCTTTCCAAAGGCCTCATGTTACCGATACAACCATGTTGTTGAATTGTATATTTTTATGGAACAATTAATGTTTAAAGTATTGAGACCAAAATCACTAGTTAGACCAATTGTGGATGTGTTTTAATTTAATTGTATGATAGTAGAGATTTGGTTTAGAGCTATATATAAAAATATATATATTAAAGAAAGGTATGGATACCAGATAGAAATATGTGTTTTAAAACCTGTATCCCTTGTGTTACTGAACAAAGAGGTGCGTTTCGTTACGCTAAGGAAATATTTACTCTATAGTGCAGCTAGAGCTGCTAAATGCAGTAGCATATTCATTCTGAATTGTAGCATTTGGGTACAGTTTGTCAACTACTACAAAATGGTGGGAGATGTATCTGGGCATATAAATTCTGTGTACAGTTTAATACAAAGTTTTTAAATGGCAACATCAACAAAAAAATCCAGTAAACAAACAGCTCATTAACAGTCATCTTTAATAATATGAAAACCCTGTAATACTGAGGAAAGGGTGGATTAAAATATGCTAAGAAACTTGATCTCTTGTTACTACTGAGCAGTGCCTGTACTGTGTTCATATGTAGTCTTTACACACTTGGCATACTTGGGTATGCACAGATTAAGAAGAGATACCATTTTTGCAGGTAACTTCTGCATCTATTGCTGCTGTGAGGGATCTTTGAGTTTTATCAACAGAATAATAAAATTTAAATTTCACATGCATTGTGTTTGTGCATTTTTCTACTGACTTTCCATGCCGAATACTGTTTTCATACTGCTGTAATTGGGCCATTGCAATGGCTAGGGCATAACAGAAACACCCTGCATGTGTGTGGGCATCTGAAGAGAAACTTTTAAATCTGTTACTAGTTTGTTCTGATTGTTTATGGATCTTCCATTTTCCAGCCCAATGTTCTGTGATTTCTAGAAGAAAATTAGGATGCTATAAAGTATCTATAGGACATTGAACCTCCTGCATTTTTGAGACCTCCTTAGTCTCAGCTGCATAAACTTACATGATGCATATTATTCAGAGTCAGTTTAATTGTTTGAAGCAAGTATCTCAAGTAATGAGATGCTGAATTTCTGTAATTCTTTGTTTAAAGACTCTGTAAGTTTGTCAACTCCTTGGAAAAATGTGTCTGGACTTACGAACAGAGATAAAGGTAGGTGAAAATGCTTCAGTTCTGAATGCAAAAGGCTTTTAATAATATGGATAGGCTGTACTGTGAGTCTTAAATATATGCAAAAATATTTTTATGAATAGTGTTATTTTATGTGGAGGAATGATAACACATGAACTGGAAATAGAAACACATTTTCAGTTTTATTTTACAGTCCAGTCGTTTCCATGATCTGGTTTATGCAGTCGCTATCTGTTGTGCTAAATACGGTTCAGACTTGGAGATAAACTGTGGATTTCAACACAAGGCTTATAACACTACACTGAACCAAAGACTAAAGTTAATGTAATTCCGTAACTTTAAAAACTAGTGGTTTATCTACTCACGTTTTTCATTACAATTACAGGCTTAACCGATTTTTGAAACAATTGAAAAAGTTGGTTGAATGCACTTTATTTCTGACTTCTGGTTTCAACTGTGATCTCGCAGTCAATATCCAAACAAGCTGGAAAAGTATTTTGTCCAGGCTAGCATCCCCCCTCAAACATGCATGGACTGACAGCACCAGACTTACTCATAAACTAAATAATAGAAGCAACTTCAGTGTTTCACTGCAAAATTACTTCTTTTCTGATAATTTCCAGAGGTTGATGCTGGATGCAAAAATGTGTTTTCATCTTAATTTAAACCCAGAAATACTAATTTGAAAAAGCAAAGCTGCTGTATATCTGAGGCTGCCTATCTTGCATAAACTGATGTAACTTGACCATCCGGTCACCCTCCTGTACTCAGTTAAAAGTACTTGCTTGTGCTGGCATTTGCTGGTTCTTGACCACGTACGGAGCCATTTCAGTTCAGTAAGCTAGCAGAAACCAATGAATTACATGGCAAGTTGTTTGAGTCTATTTCCGTTGCATTAAATGAACCTAAAGCGAAATGCATGGTCAAAGGGATTGCGTTGGTGCAAGGAAAGGGTGAGACCGTGGTAGGTCCACAAACTGACTGGAATTACAGGGAACCCCAAGATAGGGAGCACCCTGGGTTTCTGTGATCCTTTGTCTTGTAAAATCCTGTTTCGAAGCTGGTTTTTAAGAAAAGCCTGGGTTGCAGTGCTCACTCATAGGGAACTTGTCCTTTGCCTGGAGGGTCTGAGGCTAAGACAGCACATGAGACATCTGAAATTCAGACGTGTGCCTCGGGATAAAATTGGTAGCTA